TTCAGCCACTGCTGGACTGTCAGTGAGCGTCTGTCGCGCTTGTCTTTCTGCTGTGTCCCGCACTGTTGGCAGTAGTCAGACAATGTCAGTGGCTTTCCCTGCCTGTTGTAGTGTACAGTGGATTTTATGAGCTTTTCACTGAGAACAGCTGCCTGTTGTGGCTGAAAATGCCATAAGAGCAGTGAGAGTGGTCCACAATGGAAACGTTGTGGGCCAGAGAGCTAAATGAGCGTCATTTGATATGTATAAAAATAACCATTATAGCTACATTACACACATAATTTTCATTTCCTCACATCAGAAGTTCAATGCTCAGTCTCTCCCAACTGCTCATTAAATATCAAGGCTAAACTTTTGAGTTGATACTATAGATTTTTTTTTTATTAATATTAAAATGTCAATGTATTTAGAGGTAGTTTCATTTGTATCTGTTCCAGACTGAATATGTAGACATACAGAGGAGTAGAGGAACTGCATGAGGAGGAACCTCAGGAAGGTGAAGGTGTAATTTCAGATGCACAGACCAACCAGAGCAGCAGTTATCTGAGCTCAGCCTTCAAAAGCATGAGCTCTGGAGTCCTCAAGACCAGCTGTGCCCCTCACTCTTGGCTGGGAGTGCAAGTGCTCAAGGACAGGACCCACGTGAGAAACACATCCAGGGTAATTTAACTGTTGTTTGGGCACTTGCTTCTGTGTGTGTCGTTTCTTTAAAAGAGACATGGGATCTTTGAGCAGCTAATTGTGGCATAGCTTTCACAGTTGTATTGTAAGTCTCTGATGAGCTGCTAATCTCAGTTCAATTTAGAAGCAAATGTCCAAAGTTCAGACAGACTATAGAGAGGTTAAGCTGTCTGAAATGGCTTTAGAGCCGTAGATTAGTGGGCTTGTCTGTGCAGTCAGACTTTTTTTTTTCACAGCAGCTAGTAAATAAAACACTGATGAATCCTGTCAGCGTCTTTTTGAAGCATTAACATATGTGTTAACCTGTTAGATTTGCTTTTATTTGTATTTGGACCAGAAACGAAGCTTTCTTCCTCATTTCAGCGT